CTCCCAGAACCAGAAGCTCACAAGTGCCCTCAGCCCAACCAGTGCAACCAGCTCTCAGCAGGCACTGCCCTGCACAAGGCTCCATGGCTGCTGGGCGGGTGACTAAAGCCAGGAGAGGGGAAGAAGGAGATGGAGGAAGAGGCATTGCAGGGACTGAGATGCACCCTGGAGCCCTGCTCCTCCTTTATTCAGAGGGTTTAGGATCTTTAAAACCATTCCCTCACTGCCATCAAGTCAGATCCACCTCAGTGACCTCTCCTTGGGTTTCCGAGGTGGTATCTCTGTGGAAATAGAGTTTCCAACCTTCCTTCCGAGAGTGGCCGCTGGGTTTGAACCACCAGCCTTCTGATCAGCAGTCAGATGCCTTAGGCATTACATCTTAAAACCATTAGGCAGAAGTAAAAGCTTTCCCTTTTTAAAAAAACCTTATGTGACCACTGACGTATATACCATCAGACGCTGCCCAGATACTAAGTTAGTGTAACTATATGATTTGAAAAATGCTTTGTGCCTCCAAGTCACACCTTAGAAATAACAATTAGGAACTATATAATATCAAAGGTAAACGGGAACATATATCACTCAGGGCATAGGTAAAGTTTCCAGATATTAGCAGGTGCTCTTACTACAGATTACCCTAATAAGAACAGTTTTAGCCACTAACCTATCTTAGAGAGTTAGAAATTAAAATGAAATATTATTAGTTTTCTTCAATAAAATGTTTTCATTTTTTAAAAAAGAAAATGACATAGAAGTTTGTATGGCACTTTTTAAAATAGCTTGGGCACATGATGCTTATGGCCTTAATGTCAAATAGTTAAATTTGAGTCCCAGCTCTACTATTTCCTATCTAATGGCCACTGACTTTAAGAGAGTCATATAAACTCTCTCAAGGTTTCCTTTTTCTCCTTTATAAAATTAGCCTAAGGTGGGCAAGATGGGGCAATCTACTTCCGTAGTGATACTGCCTCAGAAACCCAAGGAGGGGTCGCTATGAGTCGGGTCTGACTCGACGGCACGTAACAACAGCAACAACAACAAGGTGGGCAAGGAGGACTGGAGGCTTCCCATGCTCTAAGGATTATGTCTGTCTGAGATTCTAAAGTAGAGAGAAAATATTGAGATACAACCAATAATAAATATTTTAAACATATACCAAAGCTATCATAATCATTCCTAAAATGGATGATTTTTTTTTTTTTTTTTTTTTTTAGCACCTCAGCTTCTTTAAATTACTAAATTATCACTAAATCACTGACCACTTCTAATGTTAGGTACTGTTCAGGGCAAACTGAAAACAGTTCTAATCCCTGTAGATTATTATAATTTTACTAAGTTACTATAATTTTAGAATAAAGCATATGGCATATGTGCATAGAAGCAAAATACAAGTTTCCTCTGCTGTCCAAAAGTACAGTGTTGCTATGAAACCTTTCATAAGCCAAATGGTTATGTGAAGAGTTCATTCCCATTAATTTATATGGGAAAAATGTGTTAGCATCCTCAGACCTGAAAAATAGCCTACCAAATCATATCAAATAACACATAAAACCTAAAATAACATCTGCATAGAATAAATGTAAGAATGATGTGATAAACACACAGTCTATATAAAGTAGAAATTAGATACAGTGTAGTTTTCAGGGAGGGAGCTTGGTGCCACCACTCACTGCATAGGGTGCATGCTGCCTCGTTAAGACCTCACTGCAAACCAAACACAGAATGCTAGTTTTGCTTTCTACCATTTTTCATAAAAGTGAAAATCATTTTTAGATTTCTTTTGGTTAGCTTAGAGAAAACAGGTATTAATGTACGTCTTCCATAAAAGCAAGTAACATAAAGCAAACTTTTGAAAAGTGGAAAATACCTCTGTGTATTTAGGTTTTAACTAATACGTACTATCTATGTATTTGTTAATCATTGTAATGTGCCATCAAGTCAATTATGACTCATAATGACTCTATATGACAGAATACAACTGCTCTATAGGGTTTGTTGCTGTTATGTGCCATCAAGTCAGACCAGACTCATAGCGACCCCTTCTTTTGTTTCTGAGGCAGTACCACTACAGAAGTAGATTGCCCAACCTTCCCTCCAAGGAGTGGCTGGTGGGTTTGAAGCACCAGTCTTCTGCTTAGCAGTCAAGTTAGGCACTACACTACCAGAGCTCCCAGTAGGGTTTATTAGGCTGTAATGTTTATGGAAGCAGATCACCAGGTCTTTTCTTCCTCGGAACAGCCAGTGGGTTTGAGCCACCTACTTTTTGGTTATTAGCTGTGCATTTAAACATTGTGCCATCAGAGCTCTTAAACTATAGCATAGTGGAAAGAACTTAAGCTCTGATATTAGACAGATCTGGTTTCAAAATTCAGCATTGAGTTTTGCTCATTGCTCATTTGTACGTTACAGATAATGCAGTTTAAGCCTGATTGCCTAAATGCAAAATGGAAGGATAATGCACTCTGAAGAGCTATTGTAAGAGTTAAATGATAACCCCTGTAAAGTGCCCGTGTATATGTTGTTATTGTTGTTATGTGCTGTCGAGTCGGCCCCGACTCATAGCAACCCCTCCTTAGGTTTCCAAGGCAGTATCACTACAGAAGTAGGATTGGCCAACCTTCCTTTTGAGGAGTGGCTGGTGGGTTTGAACCACCAGCCTTCTGGTTAGCAGTCAAGTGCCTTAGGCACTATGCTACCAGAGCCCCTGCCTGTGTATATAAAAAAAATGCTTAATAAATGTTTTCTTTCCCAGTAATAAGCAATCAAAGCAGGATTTTAGCATGCTAAAAATGATAAGGTTCTAACAGGTTATAAAGACTCCAGGACCAGTATGACTAGTTTTAAGATGGATATGATGCAGTGAATTATTTAATATGGCTCTTCTAGCCATGATCTTTAACAAATCTGTCCTGGAGGAAGTGCAGCTGGAATGTGAGAATGGCCAGACTTCGTCTTACCTACTTTGGTCATGTTGTCAGAAGGGACCATTCCCTGGAGAATGTCAGGCTTGGTAAGGTGGAGAGTCAGCGAAAGAGGGGAAGGCCCTCAATGAGATGGATTGAGACAGTGGCTGTGGCGATGGGCTCAAGTATAGCAAGGATTGGGGAGCTGGCGCAGGACCAGGCGGTGTTTTGTTCTGCTGTGCATGAAGTCGCTATGAGTCGGAGACGACTTGACAGCACCTAACAACAGCCATAATCTTTGTCACTCCCACCAGATGATTGGATGGGACTATGTAAATGTGAGGTGTTTGTGCCCCACCAAGGGGATTGAATAGCTTGGTAATAATGTAAATAAGGTGGGGGTGGAACCATGCAAATAAGGTATATGGAACCCTAATGTGGGGATTAGTCAGTTTTGCCATCTCATTGGCCTTAAAATGAGCCATTCCAGAGGCAAAAAGGCAAAGGATCTCATTACCATCAAGAAAGAGAAGAGCCAGGAGTGGATTGTGTGCCTTTAGACCCAAGATCCCTGTGCTGAGATGGCACAGAGACAGAGGAAGCGAAACAAAGAGATTAGCATGAGACAGAGCAGCAGGCTTTCTGACCCACAAGACAAGAAAGCCTTCAGGCAGGAAGCTTGCTGGCAGAGTGGGTTGCCTTTCTGGGCACCAATTGGCAGAGCTGGAAGAGCATTATAACACTTGCCAGAGCAGAGCAGTGGCCAGGCTGTGAGGGATTGAGGGCCAAAGAGATGTACCTATGGGCATGGCTGATGGCAATCTGTTCTGACGGAAGAATTGTATCCTGAGTGTTCTTGAACCTAACTGTAACCTATTAACTTCCTAAATAAACCCCATAATCGTAAATATTGTCTGTGAGTTCTGTGTGGCCATTGCAACAAATTATAGAATGCAGCAGAGAAGGAGAGGGTGCTGTGGAAGGGACTGTTGGTGTCCGTAGTGGTAAAGAGGTTGGAAGATGGCAACATATCTGACCTCTGCCTCATAGGAATCAGCCTTGGGCTGTTGATCTTGATTCTCTGTCTCTCTCGTGAAGTTAGAGAAGGTTAGATGCCTCCCCTTTGCCCTTATTGCAGTGGCTGTGGGTTTTTTATATTTAATATATAAAGCTTTAAAATATTTCAGTGCTATTGATTGTTCTAAGCAGCACCTAATATGAAAATGTGAGTATGGAACATGCATAATCCTCTTATGAAAACTTTTGAAAATACAGGAAAGAACAGAGATTAATTCAACAGATTCCCACTTAACTACCACCCAGAACTAATAAATTCCAGCTGTCATATTTACTTTAGATATTTAACTTTCCTCTTAAAAAAATTAAAATAGTTCCAGTAAAACTGAAGCTCTCTTGTACTGTTCCCTAGTCCCTTTCCTAACACTTCACAGAGGTAACCACTATCAGGAATTTGGTGTGTATCTTCCTGTGCATATTTTTATATTTATATTTATACTAAACATATATACATAAACATAGTTTTCTCTGTGTACTTTTTGGTTTACATATAATTATCATTTTATTGAGTGCTCTGTAGCTTGCTGTTTTCATTAACATTATATTCTTGAGACTTAACCTTTCTTTTGCATGTTTATAATACCATTAACCATTTCTCAGTTTGACACTTTCTCACCCATTGATGAGACACTTCATTCAGATGAAGAGCATAATAGCATACTGGGGACCACTGACTTTAAGTAAACACCTTCCTGGTTTGAACTACACGCATATTTGCAGCGTCTCATGTTATTCCGCCCAGTACTTATTTTAAGTGGAGTTAAAACCATTAAAAAGACTACGACATTTTCAATTATCATGTGCAAGTTGATCTATGAACAGAGCTTCCCATTACTCTATAGCCATGCCCCATCTTCCAGACTTGTTCAAAAGAAATTATATTGTGCAAATTATATTTCTAGAAAGAATATGGATTAAATCTCATTATAGATTTTATATAAAATGATTCACAACTTCTGGTACCAAATAACTTCTGGTTTTATTTGTCTGTTGCTTTTGTTTTGTTCTTATGTTTCACAGCTTCATCACTGGTCCAGCTGTAGTCCCAGGGTACTTCTCCATTGATGTGAATAATGTGGTACTCATTTTAAATGGAAGAGAGAAAACAAAAGTCTTTTATGCTACCCAGTGGTTACTTTATGCACAAAATTTAGTGCAAACTCAAAAACTCCAGCATCTTGCTGTTGTTTTGCTTGGAAATGAACATTGTAATAATGAATGGATAAGTCAGTTCCTCAAAAAAAACGGAGGCTCTGTTGAGCTCCTTTTCATAATATATGACAGCCCCTGGATTAATGAAGTGGATGTTTTCCAGTGGCCTTTAGGAGTAGCAACGTAAGTACAAAATATTACACACATTTTAGACTCTTAAGACCTGAATTTCTGAATCAGGAAGATTGCATTTTAAATTTGCAGAAAATTTCATTCTTTTGGTATCATTAAGGGCAAGTGGTCTTTCCTTGAGGAAAATAATATGGCTTGGTCTCATGGTTCAGTGATGATGTTTTTAGAATATTTTCTTTTCATGAAAACAACAGATGAGCAGAGTTTCTTGTTTCTGTTTTAAAATCCCAAGACATCAGATGAGTTTTCAAGATTATTAAGAGTATCTTAAAAAGAGGTTTAGCAGAGAATGGCAGACAGACTTTCTTAAAACATTTAGCGATACCACCTTGGAAACCCAAGGAGGGGTCACTATGAGTCGAATTGACTCAACGGCAATGAGTTTGGTTTTTTTTGGTTTATGTAATTTATCATTTGGGGGGGAAAAAAAAAAACCTTTAATAATACTGCCTTGAACCAGGTTTGCTGGTCCAGTAGAGCCTGGTAGAACCACTGAAACTATGGCCCCTAGCTGCCCTTCAGGTCTGGAATTGAACCCACACCTGTGGTTTCCAGCCAAACAAAAGACAGGCATATGAGTTGAACATTTACCTCAAGTAGATACACTCCTTAGAGAGAACAATCATGGGAGAAAGAAGGCTGCTTATGCACAGGGAGACAGCTCAGGTGGCAGGAGTGTATGGAGGGATGGACACTGGGAAGAGGTAACTGTGGGGAGGAAGTGGGAGGGGAGCTGTTACATTGTGGTAAACTGTGGTCAATGGCATGAGACAAAGTATATGTGAACTTCCTTATGGAAAGTGAATGTGCTCTGTAACTCTTCACCCAAATCACAATTTTAAAAAAAAAAAAAAAAAGAAACTTAAGATTAAAAATAACAATAATAATAATACTGCCTTGAAACCTTACTTTAAGGTCAGTACTATTAAAAGCACACTGGACCTTTGAGCTTGGGAGGATTGTAGTATGTTCAGATCTACCACAAGACTTATTGAATTTGTGGAAATCTAGTATGTAAATGAGGGGTCAATAATATGATAGCTGAAGTTTCTCAATATATTTGGTATATATAAAATCTGTCTCCAGCTATAAAGTGGCAAATACATTATCTTTCTATTACAGAAGGGTTTAAATTTAGAATAAATCAACTTCTAAGAGTAAATTGCTACCAGTATATAAACTTCTTCAGGGATTTTTGTCTCTTGTTCACTGCTGTGTCGCTAACAGCACCTGACTGACATGTAGGGACAACTCAAATATTTGTTGAGTGGCTGAATTAGGAAAAATCTCACTGACATGATTTATGTGAACTTGTATAGTCAGTATGTACCACTGGCTACCAAATATGGCCTTAAACTGATGCCTGGTTGGCTACACAGATGTCACCCAAGAAGCAGATTGTTGTTGTTTGCCATCAAGTCGGACCCGACACATAGCGACCCCTCCTTGGGTTTCCAAAGCAGTATCACTACGGAAGTAGATTGCCCAACCTTCCTTCCAAGGAGTAGCTGATGGGTTTGAACTGCCAGCCTTCTGGTTAGCAGTCAAGTGCCTTAGGCACTACACTACCAGAGCTCCCAAGAAGCACATTAGTAAGACACATTTCTAGGCCCAGCCCCCCAAGATTCTGACTTAGTAGGTTTGACGTAGGGCAGACAAAAAGATTTTTGTTACATGTAGCCAGTTTTAAGACTCTCTGAAAAATCTCTCTTGAGTAGAGCCCATACAGTTACCAACTCACTTATCAACATGGTTAGGTTTTAATGACCAAGTTGCTATGCAGAAATTGGCATCATGCAAAAGTGAAGGATGATCACATCATTACATAACTGCCAAATTCCATCATTACATGACTGCTGCAAGGAGAATCATGGCCCACATTATTCTCACCTTGCATCTCGGCATTCATAACTGCCAGACATATGTCATTAATGTGCAAAATAGTTGGATAGATTTTTTTACTATTGTCATAAATGCAAAATATCAGATAACAAGATAGTCAATAAGAGTAGGTGTATTTGTAAAATGTTTTGAAACAAAAAATTACTTTTTTACAGTAACTCTCCCTAACCTATTTATGCATTATAGGATAGACACTTTGCAGTTCTGGTGTTGTTAGACTAAGCCAATGTCTTCCTTATGGATCACTTCTCAACCAGTGACAATTTTTGGCTCACAGGAGACATTTGGCAATGTCTAGAGCTCTGGTAGCATAGAGCCTAAGGCACTTGACTGCTAACCAGAAGGCTGGCAGTTCAAACCCACGAGCCACTCTTCTGAAGGAAGGTAGGGCAATCTACTTCCATAGTGATACTGCCTCAGAAACCCAAGAAGTGAGTCAAGTCCGACTCTGCAGGCACATAACAACAACAACAGAGAGCTTTTTGCTGTCACAAAATGTCAGTAGCACTGAGTTTGAAAACTTTTTTGTAGAGTTATGTAAAGCTTTTCTTTTACGTGAAAATTATATTTCAGACAGCTTGATCTATTTCCAAATGCCTATGAACATGGGCCCATTTCAACAGGCCTGTATGACATGCAGTGTTTTATTTTGTTTTTTAAAAAAATCTACTTGAAAAGCCCTTGAAATTAATTTTGCAGAACTCTTTGCCATAACAGTATGTATTCTGTAGTCTTTCCACCTCCTGGTTAAATCATGATAATTATGAATGGAGAAAGGGGTGTGTGTGTGTGTGTGTGTGTGTGCATGTGTATGTGTGTTTCTTTGAATGTTTTGAATTTCTGGATAACAGTTGCAGATGAGTAATGGAAGTTGATAAACATTAAAACTAAAGAGCTTTAGGAACATAATCTCATGCCAATTTTGTAAAATAACAATGTGAGATTCCTTTTTTTAAGGAACATGCTACCTAAAATGTTGGATTTTGAGAATTTTGCTAATCCATTTGTTGTATATTGTTAACTCATGTGTACTTGTCTTTTATAGATACAGGAATTTCCCTGTAGTGGAAGCCAGTTGGGCTATGTTGCATGATGAGAGGCCATATTTATGTAATTTCTTGGGAACGATTTATGAAAATTCATCCAGACAAGCACTAATGAACATTTTAAAACAAGATGGGAATGATAAGCTTTGCTGGGTTTCAGCAAGAGAACAGTAAGTTCTATGCTTACTTGATTGATCCATTTATTTCCCTAATCTGAGAGTTGCTTTTTGTGGCAGCACAGAAGGTCTTCAGTGAAGCAGTGCTAACTCTGTTAATACTGATCTCTCCCAAGAACTTATATTGGTAACATCAGCTATGCAAGAAACACAATAGAGAAGAAATTCCATACATTAAAAATTGGGAGAATCTCCTGTAATTATAATCCATATAGTTGAAGAGGAACACTAGTACCTGTGGTATGCAGATGTCAATTGCTGGGGTTTCCTCAGTAATACTTGCTACTTAGACTTGATACACAGGACATTATGAAAATCACTAAGATCTTATGTCATCCCTGAGATGTTCAGTATGCCAAGACTCACATGCAGTACTCCTCATACCTTCAGGAACCTGACACCATTCTGGGGGCAGGAGCACATATTTGCCTTTGAGTTACCAGATCTAACGTAGGATTTATGTTAGATAAATTAAATCGGGGCCGACTCCACGGCACATAACAACAACAACAACAACAAATTCATATAAGGAATTTACAGAAGGTTGTTGTTAGAAGTCATCAAATGAGCTCCAGCTCACATGTGCAACAGAATGAAACACTGCCCAGTCCTACATCATCCTCACAATCTTTGCTATGCTAGAGGCCATCGTCACAGCTACTGTGTCAATCTATCTTATTGAGTGTCTTCCCCTTTTTAACTGACTCTCTACTTTACCAAGTATGATACCCTTCTTTGGGGAAAAAGGATAAATGGAGAGTGGCTGGAAAGATGGATGGATAAATAGAATTAAAGGGATTAAAAGGATTTTAGTTGACTCAGTTGAACTTTCTTCCATCTTTTACATGGTAATCAAGAAACAACTGTTCATGGAGTAAAATAAGAAATGTTAGAATCCTTCATCTTGTTTTTAAATAAATATATAAAAAGCAGGGTCATCAGAGAAGTGATGCCTAAAAAATATCCTTCTAGATATAGAATTTTTTTTTTTTTTTTGTAGCAGATGTATTCTTCTAGAATGGGTAACTCCCAACTCTGTTGTTAGTATAATCATTTATTCATTCAGTCAAAAAATACTTATCAAGCAGCTACTGTATGCCACAAACTGTCTTAGCTAGTAGGGATACATACCACAAGGAACAAAGCTGTCAAAAGTCCATGCTCTCCTGGCCCTCAAATGCTTCTTGGAGTAGACAAAATAACATTGAGTATCAGAAGAGGGTAAGTACAATGTAAGAAAAGTAAGCAGAGAAGGGTTACAGAGAGCGCTGGGGATCAGGGCATTATTGTTATTTTAGAATGGGCAAGGAAAGCATTAGTGAGAAGATTACATTTAAGTGAAGATCGATGGTGCAGGGATGAGCCATGCATATTTTTGGGAGAAAAGCATTCCAAATAGAGGGAGTAGCAGACACAAGACCCTAAGGCAGGAGCATGCTTACCACGTTTTGAGGAATGAGGGGTCAGTGTACCTGGAGTGGAATGAGTAAAGACAATACAAAATAATTAAAGTTTATTGTGGGAATTGAATTGTTCTAGTAACTCCTCTCAGTTGAGCCTGGAGGTCAGGTAAGTGTCCTCTTTCCTTTTCATTGCTGCTTCCAGACCATTCTCTTGTCCTCCCTAAGACCCTCAGCTTGAAATCTTATGCCAAAAGATAGAGAAAACCATCTGTTATCTGTTGTCATTGGAGTCATTTACTGACCCTTAGACTTATCCCTCTAATTCTTTTAATTATTTTGGTTCTGGCATACTCTCACTCTTTACATCACTACTCCAGTCTTAATTCTTGGTGATATCTAAATCTGCATAGATGGTCTGTCCATCACCATGATCTTGCAGTTCCTTTGCCTCCTCTCTGTCAACGGTATGGGCCTCCATCTGACCTCAGCCATTCATTTTCATGGTCATTTTCTAGACTGTGGCGCCACCCATAACTGCAACCTCTCCATGATCTCAAGTTCCAACATTCCTCTCTGTAACTTCCATTTCCTGTCATTCCAGCTCATTCCTTGTAATAATCTTACTCCAACAATCCAACGCCTTTGTTTCTTCCACCTTTTCATTGTCCTTTGCCCCTTTCATGTCTTCACTTTCTTCTTTGTGCCTCTTAAATTTCATAGTCAATCGTAACTGCATATATTTTCAGTTCCCTAGCTCCCTAATCCAGCAAACTCCAGCTCTAATTAAATCCACCACTCTCATAGCTCCATAGCTGCAACTAGGCAGCTGAACTTGGTTGAAGAAAGATGCTAATCTAGCTCACTTTAAATATACGACCTTGAACCTCAGGTGCCCAGCAATCAACATTTTCCTAATCTGTGCATTCTCCTACTCCCCTACATTATTTCATATTTTCTTCTTGCTCCTTAAACTCTGACACTTCCTACTCTAACTTCTTGTACCTTATTTCTCTGTTTCTTATTTCACTGAGAAGAAAAGTCAGGAAAGAATATCTAGCTTTCTAACTGGTCTCTCAGCCTCTGCCCCTACTCCTATACAGTCTGTCCTCAACAAAACAATCACATTGATTCTGATAAAATATAAACTAGCTGTCATTGAGTCAACTCCAACTCATGGCAATCCCGTATGTATCTAAGTAAAACTGTGCTCCTAGATTTTCAGTGACTGAACTTTTGAGAAGTAGAGCACTAGGTCTTCCTTCTAAGATGCCTTTGGGTGGACTCAAACCTCCAGCCTTCAAATTAGCACGTAACTATTTGCACCACCCAGTGATTCTCTAGTAAAATATAGGCTAGGTCATATCACTCCATGGAGCAACACCCTACACGATAGGACTCCTTGTGGCCACTCTGACCTCATCTGCTACATCTTTTTTTTTTTTTTTTTTTTGATTAAGTTAAGGCTAGGGTTTGCAGTGGGGTTAGTGTTATGGTTATGGTTAGGGTTAAATGTAGGGTTGGGGTTGGGTTTGCAATATGAAATTAAGGTTAGGATTAGGTTTAATGGTCAGATTACAGTTAGGTTTGGTGTTAATGTTAGAGTTAGTGATAGGATTAGTATTAGGGTTGGGTTTGGTTGAGTTTGAGTTAGAGTATGAGGGTTAGTACTAAGAATAATAATAGAACTATATTTCCAGATAGTGTTAGGTTTGGGTTTGGATTAGGGCTAGGTTTAGTTTTGTTCTTTTTTTTTTTTTTTTTTTTTTTCCTTAACTAATATTGCATTGTGTTTTCAGTGAAGGTTTACATAACAGTTTAGGTTCCCACTCAACAATTTTTACAAACTGTTTAGTGACATTCTTTACAATGAGTGAACATTCTTATTTCTGTTATTGTTTTATTTCCATTAATCTAGTTTTCCTGCCCCTTTACAGTTGCCTCTTTGTTTTAAAGTAACTGTTGACCAGTTGGTCTCAGCAGTTGATTCTTCTCTTATACATCTTTACCCCTCAGTCACCTTGCTTCAGCCACCTTGTTCCCTTTTATTTCCTGAGCATGCCAAGGAACAAGAGCCTTTAACTGTTTTATGGCTTTTAGTTTCTCTAAACCCTGTTATCCCCCAGATGTTTGCATGGTTGGTTCTCACACCTCCAACTCATCACTCACATGCCTCCACAATGCAACATCCCAGATCACCTATTTAAAATTGCAACCCTATCCCCTTAGGAACTCCCTCACCACTCTTTGCCTTACTTTTCCTCCCATCACTAATACTTTAAAATTTCCTGATTTGACTTAATTATTGCCTGTCTCCTCTACTGGAACTAGAATATAAATACCATGTGGGCAGAGATTTGGAGATTGGTGGCTGGAGAAGGTACCTGGCACTCAGAAAATGTGGTTTGAATTAATATTATTCATTGGCAAATTTTATGGTGACGCTAAATTTAAAAAACATAAAGCTGTAAAATTTTCAAATTTAGGATCCTTAAATATTTTCCAGAAACCTATTTGAGCAAGATTTAGTTCTTGTCTTCTCCCTGTCAATTCTATAATGTTTTGATCATTTCCTATAATGGACATTAGAAGAGAATATGTTTTCTTTCACAAAAGATACACTTAGTAAAGTAAAGACTAAAGTTATGGTTCTGATTTTCCAGGTGGCAGCCTCAGGAAACAAATGAAAGCCTTAAGAATTACCAAGATGCTTTGCTTCAGAGTGATCTCACGTTGTGCCCAGTAGGAGTAAACACAGAGTGTTACAGAATATACGAGGCTTGCTCCTATGGCTCCGTTCCCGTTGTAGAGGATATGATGACACCTGGTGGTTGTGGGAATACATCTGTTTACCACAGCGCTCCTCTGCAGTTACTCAAGTCCATGGGTGCGCCCTTCATCTTTATTAAGAACTGGAAGGAACTTCCTGCTGTTTTAGAAAAAGAAAAAACTATAATTTTACAAGAAAAGATTCAAAGAAGAAAAATGTTACTTCAGTGGTATCAACACTTCAAGATAGAACTGAAAATGAAGTTTACTAATATTATAGAAAGTACATTTTTAATGAATAATAAAGATTAACTCAGTTACATTTTTGAGCTAAGATCTGATTTTTCAAAAATCATTTTTCATACTGGGTGTGTGCTTGTGTTTATAAATGTGTTTAAGGTAACCTAGTAAATCCTAGATTATGTTTGTAATGTTGACTAAAACAAACCAAACCAAACTCACTGCCGTGGAGTCGATCCCAACTCATGGCGACCCCTTCTCGGGTTTCCGAGGTGTTACCTCTTTGAAAACAGATTGCCCAGTCTTCCTTCCAAGGAGTGGCTGGTGGGTTTGAACTACCAGCCTTCTGGTTAGCAGTCAATGCCATAAGCATTATTCCACCAGGGCTCCTTTTTTTTTTCTTTTTAATGTTGACTAAGTATGTAACAACAACTAATCCTATCACTAACCCTAACAGTAACCCCAAACCTCACTGTAATCTGACCACTAAACCTAACCCTAACCTTAATTTCATACTGCAAACCCAACCCCAACCCTATATTTAACTATAACCATAACACTAACCCCACTCCTTTTCCACCACCTCTTGCCACAGATGTAGTCAATCTGATTCCTGTGTGTTCCATCTGGTGAAGTCCATGTGTACA